AGAAAAAAAACAAGAAAAAGAAAAAGGAAAAAAAGAGAAGAAGGGCTGCTGCGAGACGTGACGCGTAGATTTAATAATTCATATGGTCCTTTCGAAACATATCATCGATTCGTCGTTCATTTCTTTTCCCCTTTTTCCACCCCCGTTCTACCCCATTTTTCCATCACCATTCACCACCACCACCACCACCATCCCTTTTCGACAAACGAAGAAAGTCATCCCCTATCTCGAGATCGGGACGCTATATTGAGAGTTTAGATTTCGAACAAATGATAATGAAGAAGAAGAAGAAAAATAATAATATTAATAATAATAATAATAATAACAATAATAATAATAATGATAATAATAATAAGAGTAAAAAAATACAAATTATAATTATAATAAAAAGAAGATCATAATGCGATACCATCATCACAGTGTTTTATCGCATATTGACGACCAATTTTTTATATACATAACATAAACATAAACATAACTACTCTTCGATGAAACGACGCGACTATTTTGCAGGAGGAGCGCGTAATGCCAATGTTCGTAAATTTTACACAAGCGCACTACGATTACCGTGTATAAATATATTTTATTACCGTACGAATTTTCAACCAAATAAATAAGAAGCTTCGTCGAGAAGATGATCGTTTTTTAGGCCAATCGATATGCGATAATTATAGCAAAGAGCGAGAGAGAGAAAGAGAGAGAGAGAGAGTATAAAAAATCCAAGTTCATCCCAAAGTCCCTCCCTCCCACTTCAGATAGAAAGATTAATTAATATTATAGTCTAATTAAGTAAATTTAAATGAAATGCCCACGTCGTAGAAAGAGAAAGAATGTGAGAAAAAAAGAGAGAGAGTTCTGTTTTAAATATCTTTTTCTTTTTTTTTTTTTTTTTAAATAACGAGAGTGTCCTCTCTTTTCAACGATCAATTATTATTATTATTATTTGTTTGTTCAATAATTATATTTCTAGTAGTATATATAGCTTTATAGAAATCGAAAATTCGAATGTAAGAAGAAAATGTTGTAGACTTTAGACGTTTTCAACGACGCAATAGAAATAGAAAAAGAAGAAGAAGAAGAAGAAAAAGAAGAAATGATTTAGGTACTCGTCGTTTAAGCGTCGCGTCTTTTTTAAACAAAAGAAGAAAAAATAAAAAAAAAAAAAACAACGTGCATGCGAAATTGCGCGAACGCGTCTGCGCGTTCTTGCTCTCTTAAGCGTGTTCCGAGCAAAACAATTTCTCTGATAAAAAGCGTTGTAAATCCTAGCGCCAAATGAAAAGAATTAAAAGAAATAAAATTAAAAAATGGTCGGCCATTTGTGAAGCCTACCGATCAAATTTCCTCCTCGAATATATCAAGTAAGTAAGAGTAAGTTTGTATTTCTTCGCGAATCGATGTGTGTCCCAAAAAAAAAAAAAAACATTTTAAAAAATAATTCATTCTATATTTCATCGTTCTCGTCACTTTACTCATAATTCTTCTTCTTACTCTTCCTCCTCCTTACTCTCTTACTCCTTTATCCCTTCGTAAATACTTTCCTAAAGTAAAATTTACCCCTTACCATCCCCTCTTTTTGATTACACCCCTTGCTCATCCTACGTTCACAGTCAATCATTCGCTTAAGTGTGTGCGTTCAAACGAGAAACTGTGCGTATCATTATATACCCATGCACGTTATTATTTTAACGTGATTGGAGAAATAAAATGTGGAGAAAAAAAAAAATGAAAAAAAAAGAAAGAAAGATAAAAAAAACAAACAAAATAATAAAAAGAAAAACCGTGCGTTGTTCTGTGTAAATTTTGTACCATAGTTTGTATTTAATAAAAATACATTGTTTATTGCTTGAGAAGATCGAAGATGATGGTAGATAATATGTGTGTGTATATGTACCTTAATTTTGTTCCTTAAAATTATTCACGAACGTATAAAATCTTTAATCCTCGAATTAGTTTTTTTTTTTTTTTTTTTGTTGAACGAAAACACATGACACGTGATGAAAATCAATTTTAATGCATTTTAATTTCGAAAATTGTTTTACCGGAACAAAAAGCGAGTTTGGGTAAATGTATTTCAGATTGTCTCAGTTTTTTTGCATATTTCGTATCAATCGGTCCAATTGCTATACTATAAACACCATTAATCAAATTTTTCACCATTCCCAAGGTCTACGACGAAGAAAGAAAAGATAAAGTAATTAAACATTACGCATTATTCTAATATTTAATAATCCGATAAAGTGTTAAGTATTCTTTTCATAGAAACAAACTTACGGAATGAGAACGCAAATCAACGATTCTAAATAAATTTTCATCAGTTCCTCCGCATGCAATAAAAAAATTACTTAAATAGTTTCCACAATAGAGCATGGAAGGGAAATTATCAGGGTCGAGACTTGCTATTAGTTTGCCACTTCCATAATCCCACAATTGAATGGGATTTTTTCTTTGCCAAGCGCATGTTAGGATCTTTTTACAAAGTAAAATAATAAGAAAGAAGATTGTCTGAATAAAGTCTTTAGATAGATAAATAATTAAATCATTAACATACATCTTTTCCATTCCGGCTTATATCAATGCCATCTCCGCACATGTGGACACCCGATATATGACGAAGAGCGTATGGTTGTCGAGTATCCCAAAACATTATGGTGTCGTCCCAACCACCGGTTATTATCTCGTGAGCTGATTTTGGATTAAAACAGGCAGCAAATACTCGAGACTTGTGTCCATCTACTTCGTCAAAGATATCACTGAAAAAAATATCATTTTGTTTATTTGTTTTATATATATATATATTTATTTTCATTTCGTATAAGATCAAAATTGAAGCAAAATTAAATGAATACCTCGCATGAAACACCCTTTCCTGAGTTTTCGTTTCTTCGTCGTACAAATAGACGTTTGTATCATCGCCAACCGTTACAAATTTTGGCAAATTAGGATGATAAGCCAAACCTAATGTTTGTCTTTTCTCTCTTATCGTGTAGAGACATTGTGAACTTGGATAATGCCAACATTTGACGCATCCATTTACGTCTAATAATAACACGTTAATCAGATTGTGTCATATGTTAAAATGGTATTCCAATTTATCGGGTAAAAAGAATCTATTTTGTTTATTCGGTATGTTAATTTTCTATAAACATTTTATCGAAACTTGAAACGCGATTTTTCTCTACATTTCTTTTTGAACCGATAAATCGAAATATCTATTCAATAAATTACATAAATACAGTACAATTATGATTATTCGAAACATCGATTATCTAAAAATTGGTTATCGATCGAAAGTTAGAATATTTTTTAAATAAAAATACTAACAAGTAGCAATTAATGTGCGAGTTATAGGATGTGTTTTTCGAACAGGTCTATGTTTGATAGATGTTGTTGATCCAGGATTTTGTATTATTTCACTATCACGAAGAGATTTAGCTTTTTCACCAGTATCAGCCTTATAGAATTGTATGGTTCCATCGGTTAATCCTGCCGCCAAAAATTCAAATGTTTCCGTATAAGTTATACATAATACATCGAATTCGGTTTCTCTGAAAACGATTTTAAATTATCATCAAAGACTATAGGCCAAGGGGTAAGAAAATATGGTAAACCTACGTCTGATTAGAAACAATTATGTTACCATCTAATTGATATGAATGATCTAAACTTTGTTTTTCAGAATTAGTCAATAAATGAGTAGTAGACCTCATTTTAATTTGATAATATATAAATTTAGAATATGAATCGTTATTAATTTACATCTGTAACTTTATTGGTTATGTTGTAATTTCCACATTTATTTCACTAATTTTATTTACAATTATCTCGTTTACTTTTTTATTTTTTATAAATTTAAAACTTTTCTCTTTTGCGTTATTTCTTTACCGTCTTCATTTTTTTTTTTTTTTATCACAAAGTTATTCTTGCAAAAATATTACATATTAGTTAATTTCAACAATTTCAAATTTATTTCATTGTATGCGCATGATGAACCGAGTTCAATGGTTCGATTAAATCGAATTAAAATTTAAATAAAATAATTGTATTTTATATTAAATTTTTATATATTATTATATGAAAAATAATGATTTTCTTTTTCTAATCAATAATGAATAAAAAAAAATTACTATGTATTTTAGATTATGATCATTGATATGCTTCTTGACAATTTCGAAAGTTTCTAAAAACTAGAGTAGTTACTTTTTAGCGCCATGAGGCAGTTCATTCATAGATACTGTTGTCATGAAAAAGACAAATGTGAATTAAATATTTAATTATTTCTAGTATAATAATCAAAAATACTCGTCGTACATTCAGTAAATCACATTGTGTAATTTAAATAGAAATTCTTTTATACAACATTTGGGATTTTTAATAGGAACATAACCTAACGTACGAAATAACCTTCGAAATAAGGAGTTTCTTTTTGGTATGTTTAGAAATTTTTAAACATGAACTTGTATATAAAATTAAAGATATACATTTATTATACATAATATTATAATAACATATACACGCAAATTTAATGAAATACATTAATTTTCTATTTTATCATTTCTATAACGTTGTTATTTTTAGTTTCAACAATGATGAGCCAAGGAAGCCAAATAGATTGTAACATAAATATATATTTTGTTATTCCAAACAAATATAAATCTGAAAATGAATGTTCTATTCATATGTTAAATGCTTTTGATGTACGTACACAAATTATTAAATTGCAATGAAATAATTTTAATCAATAACAAAATAAATCATATCTTATTTAATATCATTATTTCAGAGATGCTGTGATTATAATATTAAATCTGTATGGATTACTGAAGAGGATTGTCAAGAATTAAAACCTGAGAAGACAGATATATTAGTATTAGAAGAATTTAAAGGCAGTATTTTTGAGCAATTACAGGAGTTTAAGTGTTCGTAAGTGGAGTATTTGATACTATTTATGTAATACGGTTAAGATTATTTGTTAATTCTACCTGTCTTTATATTTTAGCAGAATAGTTGGACCAAGATGTTTATTAACATGTTTTTTAAATGGAGAACCTATTCCGGAGGGCACAAGTCCAATTTTTACGACAGCCATGAGAGGACTTTGCATATGTGTATCCGGATTGCCACCGGATATGAAAGTACTTTGCAAATTTACCATTAATATAAAATTTATATTTCTTATATCATTAATTAATTCATATGTGTCCGTAGGTTCAGATACAACAAATGGTAGAATACATGGGAGGTTATTTTACTAAACAACTACGTAGTTGTGTAACGCACTTAGTTACAAATTGTGTCATGTCTGCAAAATATGAAGTGAGATCAATTGATAATATCTTTATATCACATTGCAAAAAATATATTATTATATCATGTATTTTAATCTTATCTTTAGAGAGCTGTAGAATTGAAGATACCGATTGTTACAAAAGATTGGGTCATAGCCATATGGGAAGAAAATTTAAATAATTTTATTGAAGCTAAGGATCCAACATTTGATAAATATAAGTGTCCTGTATTTATGAATTTAGTTGTTACGTCAACAAATTTATCCAAACGACAAAAGGAAGAAATTAAAAATTTGATCAATAGTAACGGAGGGGTAATTTTGTTTGATTGATATATATATATATATAACACATTTTTATTTTATATACTCTATTATATATTTCCTATAAAACAAATATATATTGATATTTCAGACATTCATGGGTCCATTAGATGGCTTAAAAGTTAAAATTGTTATTGCACCAGAAAATAGTTCATTAACTGATAAATTAACATTTGCTATGCAAAATAATATAGCATGCTTAAAACCAGAATGGGTATATGAAAGTGTGAAACTTGGTTACGCTTTACCGTTTAATAATTATCTTATTAAATCTACTAAAGCATGTTCAACTCCAGAGAAAACGCGAGGTAATTTTATCATTAATTTTGTATTTAAAAAAATAATATGATCATTTTATTATGCAATAATTAATCTATAATTATAGCATCTGAGATGGAAAGTTTAAACTTTTCGACAATAAGTACCATTAATCGTGAATTACCACTAAACAATTACGTAGATGAAAGTTTAGCATCAACAAATTCTAGTGCTTTTAATTTAGATTCTGCAGTGACAAAAATAGGTAAGGAGATGCAAATTATAAAAATGCAAAAACTAAATAAAAATAATTGTTAAATAAAATTATATAATTATTAGTAGGTACAGAGCTTGCAGTTTTAGAACGATTATCTCTCAATGAAGCTAAATTGGCTGGACCATTTTTAGATGGCTGCAATGTAAGTTGATTTATTTTAATTTTTTGTACTTTATTATAAAACACGTTCAGAGAGTATTCAATTAGATGGTTTATTTTTACAGATTTATCTTGCCGGATTTACAATGAATCAAAGGGATAAACTCAATAGAATTTTAAATGTTGGTAGTGCAACACGTTTGAATGACATATCGGATGCTTTAACGCATGTTATTATTGGAGATGAAAATAAAGCTACTAATGAAATCAAATTAATGAAATCATCAGGATTATGGTATTTATTTGATATTTTCTTTTCATTAATCTTATTCTACATTTTTATCAATTCAATATATTGTCTGATAATATTGTATATTAATTTTAAGCCCACATATATTAAACATTAATTGGATAGAAGAAAGTATGAAATTGAAAAAGCCCGCACCAGAAGAACAATTTTTATTTTTCAAATCGAAAGGTAGTATTACGAAGACGAACAACGAACCTCCTCCTTCTCCTTTAAGTAAAAAGGTCATTTTCTATTTTTAACGTAACAAAGTTCATGTAAATAATTTCTAATCATCAATTTCTAAAAGTAATTACAAATTTGTAGAATTTACAAATGTTGCAACCACCCAAACGACCACCAATTCCACGTTTCGATATTAATAAAACATCAAAGGAACAAAATGAAGAGGACATTTTAAATCAATATCTTCAAAATATTGCTGGTAATATGAAGAAATTTGTCTTATCAAATTTGCCTAAATAATAAATATTTATTATTTTTTAAATATAGTATCCGATAAATCGGTGGAAGAATTTTTAAAACCTTATTCTGACATCACTGACAAAAAAATGGAAAGATCCATGGAACCTAGGACAAATATAAAAAATAATCGACGAAAAATAATGTCAGAAAATAGAGAGTCGGTAAATAATAGCACTATACCATTTAGCCAAGAAGAACCAGATGCTACTCAAAAAATATTTGCTGGTAATATAATTAAACTATAATTTCAAATGTGAATAATACAATATGAAATTGAAATGAAACAATCGAATAATACATATAATAATACTCCATAGGTTTTACATTTGTTATAATTGGTTTCAATGATGACGAAGTACAGGATAATGTTAATGGTTTAGGCGGTGAAGTTGTATCAAATGCTTATTCAGGAATCCCAGACTTTGCTGTTGTGCCAATACATGGAGCACTACTTAGACACGCAGTTAATGAAATTGTCACTGATCTATTTGTTGTAAGTTTTATAATGATAAACAAAATATTATTATATATAATAAAAATATTAAATATAATGTTTCATCTTTTCAGGAAGATTGTAAAAATCAAGAACAAATAGTTGATATAGAATATTATCATAAACCATTTTCTATAAGTAAAGATATAAATCCTTTAAGAGATTGTATCATTACTTTAAGTATGTATACGGGAATAGAAAGAATGTATCTTTCTAAATTGGCGGAAGAACTTGGAGCTGTGTAAGATATATTCCATATTTTTGTACAGTAATGATATTTGATTAAATAATAAATATGGTTGTCTTTTAGATGCCAAGACATACTTGCACGTAAAACAAATATTGAAAAAAATACTTACGCTAGTACTCATTTAATTTGTCCTTCTCCCGAGGGACATAAATACAAAGCAGCAGTTAAATGGAAATTACCAGCTGTTACTGCTGAATGGTTAAAGGATTGTGGAACAAAATTGAAACGCTTAGATGAAACACCTTATCTTGTTGGAGAAACAATAGGTAAATAAGTTTGTATATAATAGTATTATATGATTTTTCATTGAAAATTTTGCTTTACAATAGCTCCAGAAAGACCTCCAGAATCACCGAATGTGAGTAATGTAAAAGAAAATTCATTAAAATCTGGTACGTCTACTCCTAGAACGATTCTTACTCCCAAACGACTTTTACCTCAAATTAAGGTAATAATAAATAATTATAAAATATCTTTTAAAAATATATAAAACATTAATATTTTTATTTTTATACAGAATCAAGAAGCGAATAATGAAGACACTCCATTGATAAATAAACGACTTAGTTTAGTTATGAATAGTACACCGCAATCCCCATTTCATGTATCAACACCAGAAACACCTTATGGTCAAGTTTTTAAACCAAATCCTTCTCCAGATACCAGAAAAGCATGGGTCAAATGGGTAAACAATTTTCCAGATTTACGAGTAGAAGAACCCCTTCCAAAAAGAAGAGCTCCCAGTACAGTATGTATTATTGTACATTTATATTTTTATTTTTATTTTTTTCGTAGAAGTTAAATTAATAAAATGTTACAGCCACTTTCAGAGTTGAAGAAACAGTTATGGGAACAACTCAAAAATCAAGGACAAAAGACAGAGGTATTTTATTCTATATATATTATATAGAATGAATAGTACATTTATAACATAATTTATATTTAGGAAGAAGCTAATACTTCAATGTCACCTAAATGTGATAATAGTAATAAAGAGTTATCCAAAAAAGATGAAGAGAACGATGATACAACTTTGAAAAATAATGCAATTAATAGAAAATTACATTTCTCTCAAGAGAATAGTCCAATTGCAAATGCACAAATAAATCTGTAAGTTGTATTAAAGATTATTGCAATTCTTGATATTGGAGAAAACATTGAAAATAAACATATTTATATATAATATTTGTTGCAGTCAAATAGCTCAGTTGGAGGAAGCACTTCAACGGAGTTCAAGTGCTGAGAACAGGCAATCAATATCTAATGAAAATAAAAGATACGAACATACAGAACCTTCGGATTCTCTTCATAAATGTATGTAAATAATGTCATTGATTTTTTATTCCGATAAAATGAATATACTTTATAAAGTATAATCTTTTTTTTACAGTTATTTACAAAGATTCACAGCCAGATACTGTAGGATGGGAAGATCCTGGTTTTCGCAAACTACTTAGACCTGTAAGTTTTTAAAGATTGATTGGGATTATTATTGTAAAATTTTTTTCATTCATATTGGAATATATTTTGAACATAGTCCGCAGTACGCGAGGAATCGGGATCTAATGAAGACCTTCATCAAGTTGACAATAATCGAAGTAATCTTAATTCCACTCAAAATATGTCAATAGAGGATCAAGATGACAAAACCCAACCTTATTTTAAAAGAAAATTCATGCTTTCTGGAATAAAAGTTTGTATAGAATAAAAATATATAAAAAAAGAAAAAAAAATAATAGGATTAACGTAAATCGCATAATAACGTTTCATTTTTATTACAGGACAGATTAATCCACGAACAGGTAATAAGAAAACTTGGTGGAGTTGTAGTTACTGATCAGAATTTTGATCCAAGTGCAACACATTTAATGTGCTTGAAATTATCGAGAAATGAAAAATTGCTCGGTAGCATAGCTGCTGGCAAATGGGTTATACACTGCATGTATTTGCGAGATTCTGAAGCTAATGGTAATTTCTTGGACGTTAGTATCGATTTATTCAATTGTGTATTATTCATTTGAAAAATATTACATACGTATAAAAATATAAAATGATTATTCTATTCAAAAATTAATAGGAAGAAAAATATGAATGGGGTAATCCAAAAAGTAAAGGAATTATACCGGATCCTGTAGGAGAGGTGAATTGTGCAATAGCAGCAGCAGCTTATAGATGGAGACTAAAATTACTAAAGGAACCTCGTGGTCCATTTCATGATATAGTGGCCCTATTATTTGCATCAGCAGAAAAATATGTTCAATTTGAAAGACTTATCGAGGCAGGGGGTGGTACTGTTGTAGAGGCTAGGTTTGTATCACGTTCAAAATGAAATATTATTATGTGTAATCAAGAGAATAACGTTATAATGAATTTTGATTGATTGCAGCCCTCCTTACGACGTAAGTTCTTCAGGAAAAAAAATAACTCATTGTTTTGTAAATACAAAGCAGGTCCAACAACCAATCGATTGGGCTAGACTAGCTAGTAAAGGGATTCTGTGTTTTTTCCCTCAATACTTAAGCGACATACTTACATCGGAAACTCCTTTGAATCCTAAAGATTGTGTCATACCTGAGTTTAAGAAATATCTTTCCCTTTTACCGAAATAATAATTACGATCTAAATAAACACGAAATGAAAATAGAAATGAAATACAAGTAATCTTAAATTTAATCGTTAATCATTTTTTATACAAATATATATATATATATGTATATATATTTATAAAGTTATAAAATGTATATGTATATAGTATAATTAGAAAAAATTTTGTCTCTTATCATAATCATATTCTTACATAGATAATCATTGTAATCCATCATTACAGTATATATTTGATATTTTTAATTCTCCACAGTTATTTTCTTTAAATCCAATGTGAAATTTTTACCAGGTGTTATGAACATATTTGTAGGATCTGGTTTATAATTTCCATTTAAATTCAATGAAACTTCATAACTATTAAGTACTCGTATTAAAGCAACTGCAGTTTGTAACATGCCGACACGCATGGCTGGAATTCAAAAGAAATGAAAACAAAATAATGATATATTTATGGTATCGTTTCAGCTCATAGATAATATTAACATACCAATGCAGACTCTTGGTCCATCACCGAAGGGCATGTAAGTATACGGTAAAATATCAGCTTTTCTTTCGTCGCTAAATCGATCAGGATCGAAACGTAATGGATCTGGGAAATAATTCGGATCTACGTGCATGCCAGTTAATACCGTATAAACTGGTGTTCCTTTTTCAATAAGTACATCTGTTCCAGGTATCTGTATAAAATACAAAACAATTTATTGCATCCTAGTTTTGTTGTTGTTATAAAACTAGCGAATAATTAAACTTTTCAAATTTTCATTTTAATTACCACATAATCTTGTATAGCAACTCTGTCAATGATCGGTGCCGGTGGATGTAATCTCAAAGTTTCTGAGATCACCTGATGTAGATATTTCATTTTTTGAACGGCTTCGTAAGTGAATCCTTCGGATTTTAATGTTTCATGTATTTCTTTTCTCAATCTTTCTTGTAAATTAGATTGTCTCGCGAGTTCAGCAAGGGCATAACATATCGTAGTGGCAGTGCTTTCTCGACCAGCGATAAAAAATATCAATGATTGACCGAGCAAGACATCTCCTTCAAATTCTAAATAATAATCATCATCATCATTATCATTATTATATACGTACATATACATTTTTATCATTTATATAATACTATTATTATTATTGTTTGATATACGCGTGTAAATTTAGTCTTACTAAAATCATCATATTGTTCCTCATTTTTTAATTCAATTAAATAATCAATAAGATCTCCTCTCTTAGTTCCAGATTTTTCTCGTTCATGGAAAGATTCCCAAAAAAGGTTATTAAAGTATTCCCTAGATTCTCCCATCATTTTAAAATCAAGATTTTTATTTAATTCGGGAAAGAAGAAAGACGAGAACATCATTAATGCCGTTTTCAAATTTGCCTTGAATGGTAAACGACCTGTGTATGGAAAAATATAAAAAATAATTGATTATTTTACAATTTGTAAAAATTGATCGTTTTGATTAGATTATAAAACAAGCTTGGTGCTTACTTTGTCGATAAAATTCCGAAGTTTCTTCCTTGTACGAATTAGTTCGAACACCAAATGCCACGGTAGATATAACATCTGTGGTATATTTCATAAAAACGTCCTTGGCATCTATCGTAATATTAGAATTTTGTTGAAATTTTTCTTGAAGAAAATCTGCCATTGTTTCGGACGTCTCGTTCATTAGATAAAATAATTTTTTGATTTTTCCACTCGTAAATAACGGAGACATTTTAACTCTATTTATGTACAAAGATATTATATTCATTATTTATAACAAAAAAAAATTTACCTATTTTGCATTTGGAAAATACCAAGTAAGAATAATAAATTAATTAACGCATGTTAATCAGATTTCATTATTGTGCGTATTACTTTATTTTTATTTTAACAACACGTAAACATTTGTTTACGTACTCTACGTGTTTTTTATTTTTTTTTTTTTTTTTTAGTTAACACATGTACAGTTATCATACGGTAAAAGAATATTAATGACGTATAATCTAGATATAACTTTTTTGTTTGCATCGTAAATATAAAAACAAATATCATTATATAAAGTTATTATTTCTATATTAAAAAAAAAAAAATAAAATAAAATTAAAAAAAAACTTTATAATAAATCTTTATGCCTGTCTTTTCTTTTGTTTTTTTTTTTTTTTTTAATTATTATTTCGATTAGTCGAAAGTTAAATATATATCTTTGGTGCTGACGTAACCGATGGTATTCCAAGTGCAAAGTTCTTTTTATTACTTCTGATAATTGATTGATTGAATGAGTTAGCATTTTAAATACCTAAGATGTTTCCATTCAGGATTATCAGCAGAGAAAAGATTAAAAGTAGCCAAATCATTCGCCGATTTAACCGCAAAATATCGATTACAAAATACATCGAAATCTTTGATTAGTATACTTTTAACAAGTTCATTATCTCTAATTAATAAAAATGGTTTATGTAAGATATATATTCCCAAAAATTTGTCCTTATCATTGGCTTCTAAATAAAGATCACCTAATGCCATACTTCCAGATTTACGACCAAAAATGATATCCTTTAATTGTTTAAATAACGAACTTGTTGGCAATGATGGTACACCACGTCTTTTCCAATACGAAAATTTGTATTTCATCCATAAATAAAATACAAATGCGAGAGTTAAAACGAATAACAATCCGTTAATAAAAAACTTAAAACCTGTAAATATTATTGACATGATTAATGCGTGACCTTTCATAAATTCATAACAACTTTTCTTTTTTTTTGTATATACAGAAAAATGATAGAAATACAAAAAATTGTTTGTTTACCAATAATTGCCATTTTTTGAATAAAGATTAATTTGTTTGTCTTCTTTTTGAATTAATTTATCTGATTAATTGTAACACTTAGTTTAACACTATGTAACTTTGTTATATACACATCAATTTATTTTATTATTGCTTAATTAATAAACTCGATTGTGAAGAAATAAATTTTATGAGTAAAAACGACTCCTGACACACATCATCTCGAGAATTCAAGAATAGACTGAAATGATGAACGCATTAGGTAGCAGCATGAAATGGAATTAATCTACGTAGTAGATAATCTTATCACTATAGATATACATATATGTATGTGTATATGTATATCTATAGTGATATTATAAAATGTGATTTTATAATATCATTTCAGTAATAATTGAATAGTCATCTTTGTGTTTTTATTCTAAATATGATACATAATTCATACGTTAAAAATGTTATAATCTATTTAATTAATCATTTTGCTATGATGTTGCATAATAAAAAATCAGTATTGATTTGATTCATTAAAAAATTCATAATAATATTGCGTGTCAAGAAAATAGATAATAATTTGTATTTATCTTAATACTTGAACATAATGATAATAATAATGTTACATAATAATAACGCGGAATTTTTGATGGAAAAAAAAAATGAGATAAAACAGGGACCTACAATTATTATTATTACATAATGCACATTATTTTAAATTTTAATTATATTATTATATTATATATTAATAATAATATAATACTTTAATCGATAATTGGAATTTTTACATTAGAAACAGTACAGTATTTTAATATACAAATGATCTATCTTTCCTGATTAGAATATTAATTTCTTAGCCGCTAAATAAAGATATCATTTTTGTATAGATGTATAATGTGTTGCATACTGTAAGGTGTTCAATCAAAATTTCTAAATAGTTCTACAATACCGACACAACTTATTTGACAAATTTTAGAATATGTTCAAACAGTTGCCTATCCAATTTTTGTAAAAAAAAAAAAAAAACAAAAAAAAAGAACAAAAACAATGTTATAAAACTTGTTTATATATAATAATAATTATAAAAATTCTATATTAATTGAAAATAATACAGGGATATATTTGAATTGTATTAAATTAAATCAATTGATATAAGTTATCAAAATAAATATTATTATTACTATTATTACAAATGATTGTATAAAAAAAAAAAAATTGTAAAATATCATTAAGCATATTATTTACATAGCATTAATTTTTGTTGTTCGTCACTTTATGATATTATTTTTTTGAAATGAAGCTTTATTCCATTAGCTGCTGCTGTAAAAGTTGAACGTGGATCCAAAACGCTTTTATCTTTTTCCTCTTGCCAAATTTCGTATTCCCTTAAGAGATGAGCTAATACCACTTTTGCATGAAGTTGACCAACTTTCATACCTAGAATATATATTTAAACGATAAATATATACATGGTGTACTCTCTCTCTCTCTCTCTCTTTTTTGAGTTTAAATTACTTAAATATAAATTCTTGCTCAAATTTATAAATGTTATTAATCAAATTACAAAAAAAAAAAAAAAACAATTTGTTTTTATCGATTATGTCATAAAGCAATAATATTTAATATTCGTTTGACATATATAATTATATATAATTGATTTGTTGTTTACATACCTACACACATTCTGGGACCAATACCAAAAGGTATATAAGCATCCGAAATATGATTACCCTCAGCAAATCTGTCCGGATTATAAACTTCCGGTTCGTCAAAATATTTGGGATCTTCTTGAAGTCCATAAAGAGATATAAAAATTGGAGTACCCTTTTCAATGATTATATCAGTTCCCGGTATCTGCAAACGGATATTGTAAATGCAATTTAATCTCAATTATCTTCGCTAATCAATTTCATTATTATTATCTATCTTTTATAAATTTACTATCGTACAGTACAATATATATACATATATATATATATATATATACTCAAAAAAAAATCCCCTTTTTTTTCTACTATCTAATCTCATGATTTATTTTTACAATCGTTTTTTAGAAAAATCAAATGCCATATAGCAAATATTATCGAAAATTGTAATCAAATATTGTCGAGTCATTGAAGTATGCAATTTATAAATTAGAATTTGAAGAATTGCTAAATAAGTAAAAAAGAAAAGAAAATTGAAAGAAATATTATTAATAAAATAATGAATATAAAATTATCACGTTTTAGTTTAAAAAATATTTATCTAATTCTCGTAAACTATTGTTATAAGAAAAATAATTCGAATAATTTATATATTATATATTTATTCGTAAATAAGATGAATGAAAGATTAAAAAAGAAGAAAAAGAAGAAAAAAAAAAAAGAAAAACACAAGAAGTAGAAACTTCTTGTTTTAATTTATTTTAAAATATATTTTTAAATGATTCAAGTAATTGAGTCGTTCAGTGCACGCATCGATTAACCCCATAAAACAAAAAGTTGAGAAATGCGATTGAAATAATGTGTTAATCTTTATTATTCAGGAAAGTTATTATAAATATAAAAAGTTATGACTATACCAAGTGCTTTGACACTTAAATTTAAGATTTTTCAAAAAGTGAAGTTAATCGACTGATCGACTCGATCACTGAACGGTTCAATTATCGTAGCATGATACGATCATGACAAAAACAAAAAAAAAACAAAAAAAAAGAAAAGAAAAAGAAGTTATTATTTTTTGTTTCATTTAATCAAACTGCACAACACACACACACACCTTTTTAAGTGTTTGTCGCTAGAATTTAATCGCGAAAAAATTGATAAATAAAATACCTGATAATTTTGCCGAGTGTATCGATCTATCGTAGAAACTGGCGGATGTAATCTCAAACCTTCGGCAATGGCTTGATCAAGATATTTCATTTCGTTAAATGCTTCATATGTCCATCCATATTTGTCAATTGCTTTATTAATATCCTGTCTAGCACGTTCCTGACATTTCATATTATTTGCAAGTTCCATAAGTGTAAATGACATACACGTTGAACTAGATTCGAATCCGGAAAAAAATGTACCAGATTGATACAAAAGATTTTCACCCTCGAATTCTGCAACAAGTAATCCCATTCATTTTCATTTCAATTGATTCCCTTTCTTTTTTTCTATTTGAAATTCGTTTAAAATTACTCACTGTATTTAGGATTTTGTTGGCCATTTTTCAATTGTATCAACGAATCGATAAAATCACCCCTTCTCTCGCCAGTTTTTTCACGATTTTCCATAGCACTCCAAAATACTTTTCTAACAAATTTCGAATTGAAAAGTATATTAGAACCGATGATTTCAACCAATTCGGGCATGAAGAATACAGTTACCAGTGCTACCATTCTTTTAAATCCATGGAAAAATTCTGATACTATGGAAACAAAAATAAAACACATTTAATTAAATTAGTTATATATATATATATATATATATATTTTTTTTTTTTCAAGTAAATTTACCAGCAGCCGTGAATTCGGCATTGGGGTGGTTGAAAGAATCCATTTTGGTACCGAGTGCAACAGATGCGATCAAATCCGTGGTATAGGTGTAACTTAATTCTTGACCGTCAACAATTGTAACATTATTATTATTAATAGTTAATTGTTTTTTCAAATGTTCCATCATAGGTACACTAGTTTCCATCATAAGTGGAAACATTTGTTTCAATTTTCCACGTGTCAACGTAGGCGTTATTTTCGATCTGAGATATTTCCATGCGGGATTTTTCAAACCAAACAAATTCTTCATTCCAATACTGTCCTTTTGATTGGAACCAGCAAAATGTCGATCGGAAAAATTTTCAAAATCCCTTATTAAAATTTGCTTGATTATATCTGGATCGCGTAAAAGCAAACACGGTTTGTGAAATATGTAAAAACCAATGTACGGAGCATCCTTAGGTGCTTTTTTATACAATTGGCCTAAATGCCATCCTGGTGCTGAACGAAATAACACGGCTTCTTTAAAATTACCGAACAACAAATTGCTCGGCAATGATTCGACACCCCGTCTCTTCCAATAATTCAATTTGTATCTAAAAGCAAAATGAAACAAACAAATAAGATTAATAATTCGTATGAAATTTGAATAAAATTAATAAACCCTTAAAATTAATAAACTCTTACACCCTCGTCGTACCCCCCAGAATAAAAAGAAGAGAAAAAAAAATGAAAATTAATTCAAATATCGAGAGATTAATTTTGTTTTTTAATTTTTTTTTGTTCCAATTTTATTCTATTCTTTTTTTTTTTTCTTAAAAAAAAATTGAATTACTAACTTTGCGTAAAGCTTCAATAAAAAGAATACGATGGCAACAAATGCCAAAGTGATAATAGTACTTTCCATCGAGATCATTTCTATTTGACGGCTAACAAGGTACTGGTTCTCTAAAGCTGATATCAATCTCTTTTATATGATCGCGCTTTCCGTTACGATAATAAGTGAATCATTGATGATACACAACAATACAACAATCTTGACATCCATTGCTACTTAAATATGTGTGATCGAAAAAAATGATAATCAAATAAATATCAATAACTTTTTCATTATTTTTCGCACTTATTAAATTTCTTTTTTATTAATCGATGGAAAATTATATTCATTTTTGTTTTTCTTTTTTTTTTTTTTTTTATTTATTTATTTACAATACGTATGCAAAATATGTGAAAAAAATATAGAAAAAAGAAAAGTTGCATTACTACATTATAAAAAGAAGAAAATATATATAAGAATTTTTCCCCTTCTTCTTTTTTTCTAACGCGACATGTACAAGTTATTGATAATTTCATTTGTTTTGCATAGTAATGCGAATTGAATAACTGTAATGATCATATTATAATGTTAATCGTTGAATTATCGAAATATTTAAATAAAAAAAAAAAAAAAGAGTTCACATGAATGTATTGAAATTTAAAAAAATGCAAATGATCGATCGTTTTGTTTCAATGCACCACATTGGTGTTTTCTTTTTTGTTTGTTTGTTTTTTTTTTTTCTAACTACTTCCGTATATACATTTTCCATTTTCTATGATTATATCAATTAACACTTTGTCAATCGGTCTTACAAGTAAACTCGTGATTTCATCGCCAAACGTTTTACTAATCGATCGTGAATAAACTTGTGATGCACTTTTTATTTGCGTCACGCCATTTTTAACCCCTTAGCCTCTATGGCATTTCCCAATTGTACGAGCCATAGTAAATGAGAAGATCCGGTCACTGATGCAATTGATTATTTATCGTCCCATTCAGCTCTTTGGCCGTGTACAAATGAATTATTTAATAAAAATAACTTAAATAGTTTTACTTATCCATCCAATTACGAAGTAATGGCCAATGACATAAGATAAATTTTTCTTCAAAAAAATTACCGGTCAAGCAATATGTTAAAAGAGATACGGAGTTATTATTTTCTTCATATTCTCAAATGTAATTGAGATTTTCTGAGGAATAACATTTTTTAGTTTACCCGTAAAATAGAAATCTAATCTAATGGAAATAATCAGGAAATGAGCAAAAACCACTTGAAAGTACTTTGTCATTGTCCAATCTAAACATCTTTTAAACATTTTATCTAATTACTTATCAATAATTTACGTAATCTTTACCACAATGGGTGCAAAATTATTTTTAATTGTTATTTCGTAAAAAAAAAAAACAAATTCTTTCAATTATTATATTTTCTCTTTACCCCTTTGCAACTTTATCCTATAATTATTGTAAGTGTATAATGTAACTTTATATTTTATAATTATTATAAATAATTATTAAAATTTATTATTGAATAAAAGATTATCATTTTGTTCAACATTGTTTGGAAATAATTAAGAAAAGTATTATTAACGGTAAGATTAATATCGTTTCTTGATCGATACACGATATCAAGATAAAAATGTTATAATATATATACTAAATATACATATTTTCTATATAATATTAATAATTGTTATTCATATAAACATTTATTCGCTATTTTATTATTTATTTGTAATAATAAAGAAAATTTGACCTGACCAGGACTAGTTTGTCAGACTTACACAAATTTACAGATAATTTTATAGGAAAAATTTTATAATTCTCAAATATTTCTGTTATTACATTGTAAACAAAGTTTACATTGGGTCTTCTAAATAGATACGATCTCAAAAGTGGCAAGAAAAATAAATACAAGTTTATGATTTTTCCTTATTTCTTTGAAACTTTTTTCAATTCCACGAGTTCGAGGAAAATAAAGAAAGAAGATTATTATCAGTTAACAAATTTGGGTCTTAACATGACGATATATATATGTAAAAATAAATCATGACAGGTAAAAGATAGATATTATACATTTCTTTTCTTGGGGGAATAACATATGACAAAAATATTAAGAATAAAATCTTAAATGTAAATAACGTCATGGTTATTTTCATTCTACTTCTACATATTCAATAATGCACCCCCTTATTCTATCAATGTAGCTCGATTAGTTTATTATGTACATACGTCAGAGAATCAAACGCATTGAAGATTTAGTCATAAATTACGTCATATATTGTAACAAAGTAGCATGGTTCCTGTTTTTTTTTTTTTTCATTCTTCTTCTACTTCTACTTCTTTTTTTTTTTTGTCAATAAAGTATCGTTACAATTTTTCGTAGAATCGTGCAACCACCGTTATCACTCTTACTAACGGATTTGGTTTTCATAGTATAAAATTAGTCACGAATTTAAGAAGTGGACCCATATCTCGGGTCAGCAGAAGAATGAAAAAAAAATTAGTCTGTAATTTGAGTGTTTCGATTTGTTCAAAAAAAAAAAATAAAAAAAAAAAGACAGAAAAAAAAGAAGTAAAAAGAACAACTCAGTAGAAACAATAATAATTACAAATTTGATCGATTATTATGATCGAAAAGAAATATTTCTCTTTATTAGTTAAATCGTATTATATTACAAATACATTGATTATTATTTCAATAAAATAATAATAATAAAATATTTAATTCGTTATATTATATATATATATATANTATATATATATATATATATATATATATATATATATATATATATATATATATATATATATATATTTATTTTGTTTACAAATTCAACTTACACATAAGTCACTTTGGATTAATAATTATTTTGGTAAAGGTAATCAAATACTTTGCTAGATTTTTATCACAGCGAGGATAACCACATCTTTGATAGTATAAAAATGTTGTTAAATTTGTTTTATTCTTTTTTTTTTTTTTTATCAACAAGAAATAAATTAAATAATAAATATATGTAATTTAGAAACATTCTTTTTATACATTTGACGATGTAATTATTGAACCTGTGATTTTTACAAGCGACCGTATTTTTTATTTTAACTATTTTGAAATATTTAAGTACAATCATAAATATTGTCAGTATAATCCAGATTTTGTTTTTAACACCTACGGTATACGTAAAAGCAATACAATGTTTATTTAAAGAGTAAAAAATATAATAATTTTAATAATACTAAATGTTTATACATATAAATGTATATATATATATATGTAATTATAAAAAAAAGAAACATTTTTTATTGAAACATATTTTCTTAAATATTCGTTTTGAGAAAGATATAATATTTATCGAAAAGAGAACAAAAATTCAGTCTCAAAAATAATTGCGCCTTTTCTTTATGTTATAAATGTTGCGTTAAAAAGATCATAATCAGTCAAAATAAATCGAATTAAGTATTAAATGACACACACAAAAACGATATTTTTTGAAACATACATAATAAATAAAGCTAATAAAAAAAAATTGAGAACAAAAGAATTATTAAACTCAGATCTGTTTAAGCAATACTATGAGATAAGCGTACTGCTATACATTTTGTTTATTGCGATTATTCAATGTTAAAAAAATGCTATACCATTTTATTTTTATTAATCGCGTATCCAACAAAATTGCACAGAAACAGAAAAAATTATTTTTGCTCGTTGATCCCTATTTCCCCACATTCGAGTTCGTAGGTAGAATTTTTCTAATGTAATCGTAAAAATTGCATAATTACGTTTACAGTTAAATATCTTTTTATCTTTATTTATAGATAAAGAAAAAAAAGATGCAAACGTCTATGACGTCAACAAATTATTTATGTAATCTTATTCCGTTTTCCTTTTTTTTTTGTTGTTTACATTATATTATACCAAGTAGATTTATCCATCTTGATCAATAAAAAACTACACATTTCACATATAAAATAGAATAAACATTCATAATACCGAATGCCACATTTAAATATCGTTACCTTGTATAATAATACAAGTTAAAAAATATATATAAAACGATCAACAATTACAGCCAATAAATAACTTTTTCTTTTAGACACAAATTTTTCTTTTTCTTCCAATAATACTTACTTATTCGCGACATATCTCTTTTATTTATTTCTTTTGATTTTTCTTCACGCATTCTTCAATATAAAGTCGCATTATTAATTTGAAAATGAATCGATGATTATTGCTCTGAAGTTACACATTTTTTTATTCCATTTCTTCTTCTTCCTCTCTTGCAGACATAAATAATTTTTGTACGGTATGCGTAACTTTAACTGAAAATAAATTTTAAACAATAAATTGATAATCTCCGATAATCTTTAATTTACATTATTTATATATATATATATATATATATATATATATATACCATTGATTTTCTGAAACCAAGTTGGTTTCTTTTGCCATCTAACGCCCATGAAATAAGCAGGAATACCAGATGCTGTTATTAAAATACCCATACCAACTTCGTAAGGTCTTTCATAACAAGGTACTATTACTAAAAATGCACATAATGCTACAAACGTTATAGGAATCCATAAAGGTACCTATGAAATAAATCATTTTATAAGAATTCAATAAAATATATGTGAAAATTTATTTTATAATTATTAAATATACTTATTAAATATACCTTTATTGGTCTAGTCATGTTAGGTTTCTTATATCGAAGCCACAAAACACCAGCTACTGATAACATAATGAAGAAAGATTCCACTATGCTACAGTATGTTATTAATACAAATATATCACTTGTGCATAACATTATTAATGATAATATACACTGGAAAAAAAAATTTATCGCGTAAATGGAAACTACGTAAAGGAAAGATAACTGCATTTTCTCTTATATAAGATAAATTAAAAAACAAACAAACCAGGAATACTAAAGCAGGTGTAGGAGTAAATCTTGATACATTAATATGACTAAGCATAGATGGAAAATGTCCGTTTCTGGCACCAACAAAACACATTCTGGAAGAAGTCATAATGTGAACACTTAATCCTCCAAATGCAGAAATTGCAACCATAACAGGTATACTCCATGCCATAACTCCTAGAAGTTGATCTCCAAGCGTCTAATTGCAAAAAAAAAGCAATAATATAATTTTATATATCTATATGACGAATAAATAAAAAATATTTTATACAAAATTTATACTCACTACGGCAATGGCATTCGAAGAAATCATCGCAGTCGGCGTCAAAACTGATAAATAGGCAACATTGGCTAATACATAGATTAATGTAACTAATGGCAGTGAAATGTAAATTGCACGTGGTAAATTTCTGAAATAAATAATTATTATAAATAATATGTGTATGGAAAAATGTACCGAATAGAAAACTAAAGTACTGAAAGCTTACACATAAGGATTTTTTAATTCTTCAGTCATGAAATTTAAATAATTCCATCCAGAGTATGAAAATATACCAGAATAAAAGGCCACTGCAATTTTTCCAGGACTTGTATTTGTATTGTCAAAAGCATTCTCGAAGTTTTCTGTATGTCCTGTTAAATAATACAAATAAAGGAATATGTAGAAGTATTAAATATTATTACTAATTTTTAAGCGAGAAACTTACCCATGCACAACCAAGATAATCCAGCTATAATAATAATTACTAAAGCAGCAATTTTGGCAAACATGAATATGTTCTGCATCTTTGTTGTTTCTTTTACATCGTAACAGTTGACAAATGTTAACAAACCTATTACAAATTCAAAGAAAATAATGATTATCTCTAATACTAAAATATATACATGTATCAAATAAATTTTAAACGAAATAATGCTCACACAGTGTTACTGCTGCAATTAATCTTATACCATTATCTGGTGTAGAACAATTTGGAAAAAAAGGTTGTAGAACATATTGAGCAAATGTTAATGCCATTATAGCATTAGTTGTAGGCCTATAATAAAAATGATTGTAAATCAATAAGAGAATATTTATGAATAGTTTTAATAAAAGTCTTTAATGACTTACACAAAAATTAGGTTTGCAGCCCATAGATATAAAAATGATGGCAAAGAGCCAAAGGCTTCATGAATATAGGCATAATCTCCACCACTGCGTGGTATACTTGTGCCTAATTCCGCATAGCATAAAGCTCCAATCATAGACAATAGTCCACATAATACCCAAATTATCAAAGAAAGTCCTACACTTCCAACCTCTTGTATCACACCTTTCGGTGAAACAAAAATACCTGTAGAAACATTTAAAATATTCGTTAAGTTTACATTTATACATTGACGATAATTTTTAATTCTTTAATATTTTTATGATAATAATTCAAAAATGTTTAATTTTACCTGAACCAAATATGATTCCTAAAATAATGGCAACACCTTCTAATAAACCTAATTGCTTCTTAAGTCTTACTTTTTCACCATTGTTATAATTTTCTTTGATATCCGATTCATCTACAGAATTAATCAACTGCATCTCTCTTTGTGAATTGTCAAATATGTCAGTCATTTTATTTTACAGATTAACAGCTGCTCACAAGTGTCTAAATTTTCAAAATGATTAAAAGAAAATTGTTAAATGCACGATCATGTAAATATACCAATTGATTCTTAATAATAAAAAATAAAAAATTAAATGAACTACTCTAGTTTTATTATGACATTTTTATTGTGATTGTAAGAGCTTTTATGATTATTAAGTATATTGAAAATAATCTCAGATGCATTAAGCAATTAGTATTAAAAAATATTATAAATATGCAGAGCTTTACTTACACTATAAGTCATCTAAATATAGTTACTATGAGATTAATAATTAAAGAACATCTGCTACTTGCAATTTCGCAAAGATTACGTAGGACGTCTACTAATCAAATATATATCGAATGGAAAAAAACTAGAACTAAATTGTCACTAACGAAGAATTATTTCCCGCATTCTTAATACCAATTAAATAATTTTGTTCTACCTTCTACAAACTATTTATAGAACTGTTAGTTATTAATACATTTTAGGTTAAGATCTTTCACCGTACACGTGCATAAAGAGGATAAACAGCATGAGCGCCAGTATGATGCAATATCTTAATATTTTAAATACTATCAGAAGATCAAAGACGTATCGATTGCGTTTCGATAATATATCGATAATTATCGTTTTATTAAGTCTCACCTTCTATTGGTCGAAAAATGCAATAATCACGTATGCAATTTCCAACGATCCAATAACTTTCCTTACATTTTATCGTACGATTTAAATCAACCAATCGCG